ACTCTAGGAAGCAGCATATACTGTGAGCCTTCTTGAGAAAAGCTTTTTGTTTTTTTTTTAATTGAATCTTTACAAACATTTTTTTTAATGTTTATATATTTATTTTGAGAGAAAGAGATAGAGCATGAGCAGGGGAAGGGCAGAGAGGGAGACAGAAGTCCGAAGCAGGCTCTGCACTGACAGCAGAGGGCCCGATGCAGGGCTCAAACCCACAAATCATGAGATCATGACCTGAGCGGAAGTCAGACACTTAACTAGCTGAGCCACCCAGGCACCCTGAGAAGAGTTTTGTTTTTAAGTAGATAAGTTAAGCAATTTATTTACATTTAGTGTTCTTTGTAATATGATTTTCCTTTCTTCTGTCATCTTAATTTTTTTTTCTTTTTTATGTTGCTTTGCTATGTCCATTGTTTTCTATCTTTTTGCTACATAAATTTCTTTTTCAGTGATTCAGAGAGTATAGATTTTGTTTTTATTCTATGTTATACATTAAAAAACAAACAAAATCCTATTTAAATATATATATTTTTGATTACCAGTGTTCTGAAATAATGTTAATTTCTTCCTGAATAAAGAATTTAGCATTCTGTACTTCCTTTTTTTCCTTCCCCTCTTGCTTCCCTTATGTTATTGGCTTAATACAGCATTTTACTGCCAGCTTCTTATTTTTAATCATTTTAAACATGTATCTTTGTTTATTTTTTAAAAGTTTTTTTTTTTTTTTTTAATTTCTTACTTATTTTTGAGAAGGACAGAGAGAGTGCAAGCAGGGGGCAGGGAGAGAGGGAGAATCTCAAGCAGGCCCCGCACCATCAGCTCAGAGCCTAATGTGGGCTTGAACTCACCAACCGTGAGATCATGACCTGAGCTGAAGTCGGACACTCAGTCGACTGACCCACCCAGGCGCCCTGGCCTTCACTATTTCTTTTTTTTTAAATTTTTTTCCAATGTTTTTTATTTATTTTTGGGACAGAGAGAGACAGAGCATGAACGGGGGAGGGGCAGAGAGAGAGGGAGACACAGAATCGGAAACAGGCTCCAGGCTCCGAGCCATCAGCCCAGAGCCTGCGGGGCTCGAACTCACGGACCGCGAGATCGTGACCTGGCTGAAGTCGGACGCTTAACCGACTGCGCCACCCAGGTGCCCCAGGCCTTCACTATTTCTAATGCACTTTAAATTCCGTTGTTGGACTTGCATTTCCTTTTGTTTCTTGTCTCATCTAGTTCCTTTTTTTTTTTTTTTTTTTTAAGTAAGCTCTAGGCCCAACATGGGGCTTGAACTCAACAACCCCCCAGATCGAGAGTCCCTAGATCGAGAGTCACATGCCCTACAGACTGAGCCAGCCATGTTTTCTTTTTCTTTTTGCCTCTCAACCAATTTCCTTTCTGCTATTGCATTCTCTTATTAACTCATCCTTTATCCCATTTTAATCTATCTTTAAAATTTTTTTACTGAAGTTACAAAACAGATGTTGCCTAATTATACTATTACTTTGCTCAATATTTTTAAACTTTTATTTATTTTTAAAATATTTATTTATTTATTTTTGAGAGAGAGAGAGCGAGCGCGCGCGCAACTGCAAGAGGAGAAGGGCAGAGAGAGAGCGAGAGAGAATCCTAAGCAGAGCCTGATGCAGGGCTTGATCTCATGAGCCACAAGATCGTCAGTGAGCTAAAATCAGGAGTCAGATGCTTAACTGACTGAGCCACCCAAGCAATCCAATTGTTTTTCAAAGAATATTTATTCTTTGCCTCTTTGTAGAATTGTTTCACAGGCTTTTTTTTTTCTAGATTATTTATTTTTCTAGATTACTTCTAGATTATTTTCTAGATTATTTCTAGATTACTTATTTTTTTCTAGATTACAATAAGTAATCTTGTTACTTTATTACAATAAGTAATAAAAGTGTTATCTAGGTCTGATATTTCCCTCATAATAAAATGGATGGCATTCTCTCTCACTTTGCTTTTTATTGGATGATATTAGTGTGTGCTTTTGTCACATCTCATCTTGAAGGATTTGCTGCTGATTGGATAATCCAGCATCCTTCAGGAAACAACTAGCTGTGAGAAAGCCCACTGGTTTGAGCTTTATTTCTGAGCACTTTGCTGGCTTGATTAGTGAAACTGGTGCTCTCGGACAGTGTCCGTTGTCCGACTTCATTGTGATGCTGTGGTCTACAGAGGCAGGAGAGCACTGAGTCCCTTCTTCTGCCAACACAGGCTCTCTGTCAGGTGGGACCTCCAGGTCCCTGGGCCTCCGTGTAGAAGTCGTTCCATGTCACTGGTCTCCAGTATGCTAAGGAAGGACTATTATTATTATTACTACTAGTAGTAGTTGTAATAGTAGTATATATTACTTTTTACCCTGGCTGCCTATCAGCATTGCCTGGTGAATTAAAACAAAATACAGATGTGTATTCACACCTCAGATCTGTGTCTGGGCCATTCTGATGTTCAGATAGGATCAGGAACTATGAGGCTAAATTGTTCCAAGTGGAGCATCCGTTACTTATGTGTCCTGTTGCTGTCCTTACTTCTAGCCCCTACCTCTGTGGGCACCAGTTTCTTCTCCAGTTCCTTCCTTGAACACTTTGAGGCCATCATGCCCCTTTGCTTGATGACAAAGGCACATAGTAGCTCTCGGTATCTTCCTTTCATCTGGTCTCTTCCGCACGGTGCTAAGCAGAAACATCTTCATGTTTATGCCTTGTGTATGTCAACCCACCCTTCTTTCTAACCCAGATGCAAATTTTGACCCATTTTTACTATTCTCAGTCACTTCTGTCAGGACTGGGGGTGGGAAGTGAGAGCCAGATGCCTTTGTTCACATTGCCATCTTCCCCTGAATTCAGACTATGATGGCTGTGAGTGAGAAATCATACTGAGCTGGGAACTGCAGGCAGTACTTCTATTTTATGTTCCGTTTGTGAACAGACATATATTGTGTGTGGTAGTCCTTACGTACATATATTTGGCGCGCCTCAGAATCATGCACACACGTAGCAATTTTTGCTTCTGATGTCCTTATTAAATCTTTAAAAGGATCTTATAAGATCTTTAAATCTGAGCCTGGGTGGCACAGTGGGTTAAGTGTCCAACTCTCGATTTCAGCTCAGGTCATCATCTCATCATGGGTTGTGAGTTTGAGCCCTGTGTCGGGCTGTGCACTGACAGCGAGGAGCGTGCTTGGGATCCTCTCTCTCCCTCTTTCTCTGACCTTCCCCTGCTCAAGCTCCCTCTCTTCCTCAAAAATAAATAAATAGGGGCGTTTGGGTGGCTCAGTTGGTTAAGCGTCCAACTTCAGCTCAGGTCATGATCTCACAGTTTGTGAGTTTGAGCCCCGCATCAGATACTGCTGCCGGCACAGAGCCTGCTTCGAATCTTCTCTCCCCCCAACCCCACTCTCTGCCCCTCCCCCTCTTGTGCACTCTGGCTCTCTAAAAATAAATAAACTTTTTGAAAAAAATAAATAACAGCTAAAAAGTTGTGAAGATAAAGGGAGAACAAGTGATAGATAGGTCTTCAAATTGTCTCTCATAACCATAGTTTTACATTTTCCAATTATAGCTAAGAATATTTTCTCCCAGCTAATTGCCTTGTGCTGCATGTGTGAGTGATATCTAAAATGCTGTGAGCAATTTTGATTTTGAATAATTTGTTGTCATTATTACTTCTTAGGTAGCAGAGACTCCCATGGGAGAAATGTAGTTTTCTAGGTAGTTATAAAAAGCCTCTTCTTTCTGATAGACATTTAAATTTTTTCTCATTTGACAAAAATGTACTGGCTTGTTAGGAAACTTGCTTTTCCTTGCAAATTAGCCATGGTATTCCTAGACATTCTGTAAGGTGTTTTTTTGTTTTTGTTTTTTGTTTTGAGAGAGTGAGGGAGAACACATAAATGGGGTAGAGGAGCAGAGGGGGAGAGAGGGAATCTTAAGCAGGCTCCACACTCAGCACAGAGCCGGACATGGGGCTTGATCCCATGACTCTGGGATCATGACCTGAGCCAAAATCAGGAGTCAGATGCTCAACCGACTGAGCCACTCAGGTGTCCCTGTGAGTTTTTTACTCATTAGTAACAAACCTCTTCACTCTCAATGACACGTGAAGAAACTAGAACATTGAAGGAATAAATTAGACTGGAGGAGGTATGAAATTACTTTTTTTTTTTTTAAATCAGCGGTTGAAATAAGTCTGCTCTCTGATTATGTTACTGCCTTAGTTCTCTGAGTAGCTCTTGAAATACTGCCTGCTATGAAGCAAACATCTTGCCTGGCCATCTACTTTCTGATCATCTTCTAGGTAGGAAGCCCCCACTCTGAGAGTTCTAATCCATGCTCTTTGACTTCTATTGATCTTTTCCTTATTCTCAGACTTTCTAGCTTTTGACACATTTCCCTCCATGACATTTTACATATGGACTATCCAAGTGATATCCAACTTTCTAAAAGTATCACAGCTTTATTAGATTACATTGATTAATTTTTTTTAATGTTTGTTTATTTATTTTGAGAGAGAAAGAGAGCAAGCAGGAGAGGGGCAGATAGAGAAGGGGAGAGAGGATCCCAAGTAGGCTCCTCCCTGTCAGCACAGAGCCCGACATGAGGTTTGATCTTTCACGGACCGTGAGACCATAACCTGCGCTGAAATCAAGAGTGAGACGCTTAACTGACTGAGCCACTGAGGGGCCCCCTATTAGTTTACATGGATTTTTAAATATGAATTATTTCATCTGATTCTCTCAATAGCCTGTGATGTAAGGAAAAGCAAGTCAGATTACTGGATTTCACAAAGAAGGACACTGAGGTTTGGAGGGCTTAAGTGACTTAGCTAAGGTCATGCAATTAAGAAGTTGTGGAGCCAGGACTTGAAGCCAAATGTGATACCCTTGCTGTTAAACACCCTGTTGGCTTTTATAAGGTGTCAGTTTCAAATGTTACTTAGCCAAGATATGTTTTGCTAAGATATACAACCTGTCCACATATCTTATCTTTTAGAAGATGATCTCTCAGAAGATGATGCAACTTTCAATATTTCAATATTCAGCGAAGCTTGTTTGAAACTGAGCAGGGGCCCTAGGAAAGCTGGATCAGAACAAACGTACCAAGTAAGAAGATCTCTCATGCTGTCTGTCAAAGTACTGTGTCACTTAAAAATTTGGGTGCTCTCCAAGTGAGGATCCAAAGTATTTAAAAACACTGATGGAATGAATGTCTAGACAGTTTGATTTTTGTCGCTAGAGATGGATATGAGATGTGAGATGGATGCCAAGTGAGGGGTTAAATTGGAGGAAGACACCGTATTTGGTGACTTGCTATCGGTTTCCCTGTCTGGTATTTCACATGTGTATGTTTTATTATTTTATGCATTTTATAATTACAGCTTATTTTATCATCAAATTCATACTTGCAGATCTTTAAGAAACTCCTTGCATGGCTATTGGTCCCCATTTAACTTGACTTTTTAAAAGTCAACACATCTCAAAATTATAAATAAACTCAGGTAGGAACTGAGAGTTTTTATTTTATGTCATTTTTAGTGCCTAGCAAGTCATTTGGCAGAGTAGACTAAGTATTAAATTAAAGTTAATTAATTCATTAGCCATTTACCAAAACAATATAATGTATCAGTCACACTAAGGTAACTTTCAAGTCACACTAAGGTAAAGTGTTTTTTTTTTTTTTTAAATATTTATTTTTGAGAGAGAGAGCACGAGTGAGTAAGCATGAGCGGGGGAGGGGCAGAGGGGGAGGGAGACACAGAATCTGAAGCAGGCTCCAGGCTCAGAGCTGTCAGCACAGAGCCCAATGCGGGGCTCGAATTCACGAACTGCGAGATCATGACCTGAGCCCAAGTCAGATGCTTGACCGACTGAGCCACCCAGGCACCACCCCCCCCTCCCCCCCCCCCGGTTTTGAACATTTTTTTTTTATCCCACAATGATGTGGGATAAAGGTGAAGAAGGACACTGTGGGCAAGTAGAGTAGCATATTGAGTTTTAGGGAACATGGTTCTCTTAGGGAACAAAGAAAGCAAGGGAGAATAGCAAGAGACGAGGCAAAAACCTAAGCAGTGGCTAGATCGTGAACAGCCCTGTAATTTGGAGTTTGGATCTTATTTTGATGTCTCTGTGGAGTCACTAAAGGATTTTAAACTGGTGAACAAAATATTCATATTTTTATATTAGGAAGAATACAGGGGCTAGAAACATATTCAAGTACCTAAATAAAATTAACATTAATTTAAGATACAGATGATGTCAAAAAATCAGTGTAGGGCCTCCTGGGTGGCTCAATCGGTTGAGCTTCCGACTCCTGATTTTGTTTCAGGTCGTGATCCCAGGGTCGTGGGATTGAGCCCTGAGTTGGGCTCCACACTGAGCAAGGGGCCTGCTTGAGATTCTCTCTCTCTCTCTCTCTGTCTCTCTCTCTTACTGCCCCTCTACCCTGCTCATGCACTCTCTCTCTCTCAAAACAACAACAACAAAAAAACCCCAAACCAACCCCCCACCCAATAAAGGCAGTTTGCAAAGGCAGTATAGAATATATATGTATTATAAAAATGCAAATGAACACCTGTTAGTGTAAGCCAAAAAAGAAAAACAAATTAAGCCATGAGACACCATGATTCTTCTTTGAGCATAGAATACTGTTCTCCACAGCTGCTGGCCACTGAAACTGTCATGACTTTTCCAGAATAGTTATTTGTTAGCATCTATCAGTAAATTTTTGGAAATGGACTGTAATTAATTATGCAGACAGACATATACAGAAAGATTATGCTGTTCTCGGAAGCTTTATTTATAATAGGGGAAATTGGAAACAACTTAAATGTTCATCAGTAGGGATTTGGTTAAGTAGAGAATCATACATTCATCTGATAGACCAGTATGCAGACATGAAATAGGTTCTACCTCACACTGGACAGCATTTGCTACTGGAGACCCTCTCAGTCTCTCCCTCCCAGGATTCCTTTCCTCTGCCTGTCCCTTAAATCTGATTACCCTCAAGGTTGTTCCTTGCCCATTCTCTCGTCATTCTGTACCCCACTTTGAGCCATCTTATCCAATCTCTTTATTTCCTTCACTGTCTCCATGCTGTTAAGTCCTAAATCGGTTTCTTCAGGCCTCATTGGTTCTATAAGCTCTAAGCCCCGTACTCCCTGATTAGCTTCTTGTGTTCTTTTGCATTGTGTCTTCATGTATGTGACCCTCCTACCAGCAGTGTCCTTCCTTCCCTTATCCTACCTGGCTGCCTCCTATTTATCCTCAAGGCTCAGCTCAGTGAGCAACCCTGGTGGGACACCTTTGCTGACTTCCTGTCCCAAATGCTGTTCCTGATCTCTGAATAGTTTTTCCTACCCCCTAACTCACTTAGTTCATGCTAATTTCTCTTCTGGTCCATAATTAAGATAGGGAAGCTTTTCCCCATCCCTAAAGAGGAGGATGAGGTGTTCCTCCTGAGTGCTCCTACAGCCTCATGTATTATAGCGTTTCTCCCTCAGTGTTTAAAAAAGTTCTTTTTAAATGTTTATTTATTTGAGAGGGAGAGAGGGGGGAGAGAGAGAGAGAGAGAGAGAGAGAGAGAGAGAGAGAGAGAGAATCCCAAGCAGACTTCACTGTCAGTGCAGATAGAGCCTGATGTGGGGCTCGAACTCACAAACCCTGAGATCATGACCTGAGCCAGAGTCAAGAGAAAAGATACTCAACTGACTGAGCCACCCAGGTGCCCCCTCCCTGGGTATTTTGTTTGCCTAGATACTCATCTGTGAGTTCCTTGAGGTTAGGACCTTATCTTATTTGCCATTGTATACCCAATGCTGTATGCTCTGTATATCTATTTAGAGAACGAATTAATGACAGTCTTTACAATATATGTTAAAAAAATTTTTTTTACCATTTATTAATTTTTTGATAGAGTGTGAGTGGGGGAGGAGCAGAGAGAGAGACACACACACACACAGAATCCAAAGCAAGCTCCAGGCTCTGAACTGACAGCACAGAGCCCAACGTGGGGCTTGAACTCACGGACCATGAGATCATGACCTGAGCTGAAGTCGGACGCCCAACCGACTGAGCCACCCAGGCGCCCCTACAATATATTTTTAAATAAAATAACTTCAGTATAGAATCATGCATGCAGTGTGATTCAAATTTGTAAACAGAAAGTAATTTTTTGTCTGTAGACTAAACCACGTGGAGTTTAGGATGAGACTGTGTAGAAATGCAGCCTCCATAGTTGTGAGGTCTTCTCCAGCAGATGGCAGCAGCCTGAATGTAGAACTGGTGAAGTCAAGTGTCTGGATTGACCCACTGTGTTTTGCATTTTCTAGAGTGGGTAGAATTGAGAACCAATGGGCAAGGGGATTGAGGGTACTGGACAAGAGAATAATTGAAGTGATAGACAGTGGTACCTGAGAGAGTTGGGGAAGATGAGGACTGGGGTGGTAAAATATTGGTAGAAGATCTTGAGTGAGGAAATCTTGGGGGAAGAAATCTCTCTCTTGAGAGAGATGAGGAATAATGGGCAAGTGGTTCAGAAAGATAGGGGCTTGTGAGATCTTGGAGCAACTCAGCGTGACACAGTCTGGGATGTGGCCATGGATATGAGTAGCTAATGTGGAGTGAAGGAACTTTATAACATTGAGCTCAAGGAACTCTGAGGCCAAGTTTTGATGGCTTATTTATAAGGATCTTTAAGTTACCAAAGATAATGGTAGGAATTGAGGAGAGAGGAATCTCCCAAAGCGCCTGGTGTCAGGGTCTTGGATGACTATGGAAGATTGGCAAGGAATGAGGAGGGATGGGGGGTGGTATAGCCAGTGACATGAGCATCAAAGGAAATACTAAACACAAAGATGTCCAGCTGTAGCACACTGATTGATCAAGGGTTTATCATATTACTTCTGGGACCTTCACATATTTTTTTCCTCTTAAATCCCTATATTATACGTGCATCTTGGGTCGGCAGTGGGTAGGGTATTATTGGGTTAACAGCGTGCATGATGAATCCATGAACCAAACACTCTTTTATCAGAGCTTTAATAGGAAGGACCAAGTGAAGGACCATTGAACAGTTGCTTTGAATTTGGAGGAGTCCTCATAAAGTTAAAAAATTCTACTTTGTGAGGCTTGTCGATGGATTCTTTATGAATGAAAATAAAAGAATTTTGCCCAATAGCTCCAGTGCAGTCTTGTAAAGTATTTTTTTTTAATTTTAAAGTATTTTTTAAAATGTTTTTAAGTTTATTCATTCATTTTGAGAGAGAAAGCATGAGCGGGATTGGGGCAGAGACAGAGGGAGAGAGAGAGAATCCCAAGCAGGTTCTGAGCATGGAGTCCAATGAGGGGCTTGAACCCACAAACCCACTGTCAGATAATGACTTGAGCTGAAGTCAGACACTCAATTGACTGAGCCACCCAGGTGCCCCTCCGGTGCAATCTTCTTTACCTGGGAGGATATCAATGGATTACCTTAGGGTAGCCTATGTTTTGTTCATGTGAGATGCAGTTATGCATTTTAAGCTCTGCCCTATAGCTGGTTGAGGGGGACGTTGAATAGGATAGGTAAGGTAGCTTTGTAAAGTCCATCCTGGTTTAGCTCGCTATGGTATTAAAAATGATTCTAAGTGGGTGAAGACTAATAGAATGAACTTCTTGCTTTATCTCCATTTTGCTTATAGTCTATATATCTGCAAACCAACAGGAAATTTAATGCAACACTTTATTTTAATCTCGTGACAGTTTAAAGTTCTGGGTCAGAGGTGGTATCTGAATAATTTTTATCATGCCACATCATTTAACTTCACAACGAAGGAACAAGCTCCAGTAGTGTGTTTAGACCTGTACCCAGCAGCGGATTACACAGTGAATATCACTCTACTGGGATCTTCTGAGCAGCACTCAGTGCAAATAACAATGACAACTGCACCAGCAGGTGGGTGTGTGTGTCTTTCTGTTTTGTGGCTCAGGACAAGAGAAATATGTGAATTACACAATGTTGGGAATGCTCGTCTGGGAGGCAAGAGACTTGGGTTCTGTTTCTAATGACCACCAACTTTTTCTGGGCTTCAGAGTGCCTGAATCTTACCACCTACTCCTTTCCCACAGGGGTTCTGGCTCCTAGAGGGTACAGATCAGGAATGGACTGTGTTATTTAGGGCTCTCTGACAGTGATGGATTGAAAATACCTGTAAGGTCTACTGTCTTTTACCCAGATTTGAAGATAGCTGAGCTCCAAGGGTAGACCATATGGACAACTAGAACCAAATTCCAGGAGATCATGAATGTGAGCCGGGACAAAGAGGCCTTATGACTAGACTGTGTATGAGCATATGAACCCGACATAGAGAGCAGTGGCCTAATGAAGGTCAGGCTTCTTAGGAAAGGGCCATGTGCCCTTGTGAGGAAGCCAGATAAAGGCCAGCTGTGTCAACTGCACAGCTCTCACTAGTGGGGAGGGTCACAGAATTGTTTTGTTCTTGAATCCACTGGGTTTAACAAATCGATGGGTGGAGAGGCTGCCACCTTTGAAGGAATGCAGTTGAATAGGGTAGATCCTGCTCCTACCTTCCTGATACTTCTCTCCCAGACTAACCATTGTTCTGAGGGAAGAAAAGCAGAATTATGTGATGGTTGCCCAACATTGTGAACTTACTAAATGTCACTAAATTGTACACCTGAAAGTGGTTAATTTCATGTTGTGTGAACTGTATCTCCATTAAAAAAAATTTTTTTTTTAATTTATTTATTTTGAGAGAGAAAGAGAGCTAGAGAGTGAGGAAGGGGCAGAGGGAGAGGGAGAGAGAGAATCCCAAGCAGGCTCCGGTGGTGACAGCACAGAGCCTGATGCAGGGCTCGATCCCACTAACTGTGAGATCATGACCTGAGCCAAGCTCAAGAGTTGGATGCTTAACTGACTGAGCCATCCAGGCACCCCATTATTCCCATTTCATAGACAAAGATCATGAGGCGCAGAGAAGTTAAACAGTTTGTCCAAGATCACAAACCTAGTGATTTGAACACAGCAGTCTGGCTCCAGGGCCCTCATTCTTAATCAGAAATTCCACTGTTTCTCACTAATTATTTAGTTATTCAAAAGAAAAAAGCAAAATTATGCTCTATGAACCCAGTGCATAGTCAGTCCAGACCCACCTTGCTTTTTGCCAAGCTTGGACCGTGAACAAAAACTTCCAATGATGCATAAATGCATTCATTTAATGCATGTTTATTTCTTACCTACTATGTGTCAGACAGGTTCTAATAGCTGACATCATAGCAGCGATACAACAGTCCCAGCTGTCATGGCGTGGGAGTCAGAAGGTCAGGATAGCGAGAGATAAACAAGTAAGGAAATAAATCAGATGTTAAGTGGGGCTTAGTCTTAAAATGAAGAATAAAGCATGGCAAAGGGAGTGACAATGAATGGTCAGGGAAGGCCTCTATTATAAAGTGACATTTAAGCACAGATCTGGAGGAAGTGAGGGTGTAAGCCATGCATAAGGAGGACGCCAAGTGACAAAGTCTTGAGAGAGGCATGTCCTTGACATGTTCTAGGAACATCAAGGAAGCTAATATGGCTGGAGCAGGGTGAGCTGGAGAAAGTGGTAAGAGGTGAGGTCTAAACTGTAGCCTGAATATAATCAGAGTCCCATGGTGTCAAATTCAGAAAGTAAGTCCATTGTTACCTTCTCCTTACAAGGTGGATCCCAAATTACCATTGTAAGTATAATCTAGCACGTGGTCTTTCAGCCTCTATAGGTTCCCAAGCAATTTGGAGTCCACCACTTGTGAATTTGAACTTAGTTTGGGAAATGGTCTCTTCTCATAAAGTTACTTGGATTCTGTCTGACAGTAGTCTTGCCATATGTTTTTGTGGGGAGGGAGATCCTCTTCTGTGGAAAATTTTAGAACTTTGCCATGGTGGCTCCAGGTCTTTCTTGGTGCCCACCTCAAGTATTTAGCACCTTTTCATTTTCATTTCTCCTTCAGGCCCTGTTTCTATCCATCGCTGAAGATCTTTATCTCTAGTGAAGGACCCTCCTTGCTTTGTGGGCAGGGTACCCTATGGTATAGTGGGAGGAATAGTAGGAAAGTCTTCAAATGAATTGCACTGTCTTGCATGCCTCCTTCACCATTGCAGTCTCCTGCCCTTTTCTCTCAATTTCTCTCTCCCCAGAAAGATCTTGAGAATCGTTTTAGTTCTGAGCTCCTGGGGTTCGTATTACTGAATGCCTTGCCTCTGAGTGCTGCTTCGTGGTTAGGAGTTTTTGCATTTGTCGCCTGGAGAATTATCCTCAGCTGATCCTTGAGCTGCTTTGAGTTTCTGGAACTTGTGCTTTCACTGGTCTAATGAGGTCCAGGAAGTGCACTAGGTTAGTGGTGTTCACCCAGGCCCCACCTTTCCTTAGAACTGACTTTTTAAAGACTCAGCCGCCTGCGCTTCCTTAATGGGCACTGCAGCAGCCCTTCCGGCCACCAGTTCCTTTTCTGCAGGGGGTAAGCCTCGAGCATCAGTTCCCTCTGATGATGCCCACTGTAGGCTTTCAACCTGCTTTTTCCCACTTCTCTATCCCCAGGTCTGGCCAATTCCTTTTGCTAGTTGTTAGTACTTTCCTTCCCTATAGTTGCCTTTTGTTTTCATGTTTAGATTTTTGTTCTACTGACATACTACTTTGGATTTGGCCAGTGAAGTCTCCATAGAGAGAGAATGATGCCAGAGAGTTCTGGATCTGCCAGCATCATCCCGTGCTCAGATAAATCCTGCTCACCTTTAATGTCATTAGGAGGTACATATTTCTGTTCAGTGCAACCTATAACCCAGGCCTGGGTCTGATCAACTGTCTTTCTCCCTGGATCCTCCCTAATGCACCTGTTTTTCTGTTCCTTCTTCCTCAAGTTCTAATTCCTTGCACTGCCCAGGGAGGTGTCCGTAGAGCCTGTGCTATACCTGCTGTTCCAGCTACATGAACAATGCTACTTCAAACTAATTTAATAGTGCATGAAAAATTCACTGATTTTTCTAGTCATTCTCTTCTTTTAAAAAAAAATTTTTTTGAATATTTTTTTATTTTTGAGAGAGAGAGAGAGAGAGAGAGAGAGAGAGAGAGAAAGCTGGGGAGGGGCAGAGAGAGAGGGAGACACAGAATCTGAAGCAGGCTCCAGGCTCTGAGCTGTCAGTACAGAGCCCAACGTGGGACTCAAACTCACGAACTGTGAGTTCATGACCTGAGCTGAAGTTGGACACTTAACCAACTGAGCCACCCAGGTGCCCCTAGTCATTCTCTTCTTAAATATGTCCACATTTTCTATTTTTTTAAAGTTTATTTAGTATTTATTTTGAGAGAGAGAACACATGCGCACACATGAGTTGGGAAGGGACAGAGAGAGAGGGAGAGAGAGAATCCCAAACAATGTCTGTGCTGCCAGCACAGAGCTTGACATGGGGCTCATTCTCACAAACCATGATATCATGACCTGAGCCAAAATCAAGAGTCAGATGCTTAACTGACTGAGCCACCCAGGTGCTCCAGGATGTCCACATTTTCTCTAACTACATAGCATCACAATTATAGTTATTCAGGAGTTTCCCATTAATGCTGACTCTGCCTTCCCTATTTAAAATGCTAAGAAGACCCCTCTTGATAGAATGATACCCCAATCTGGGCACCTGTTGGGGCAGGTGTCATTTTCTTCTGTCTGCCAAAGGAGTCCCTCTCTTCTTATCCTTGATGATCTTGAGCCACTATCCCCAACCTAGTAAATATCCCCATCTTTTCTAGGCTCTTTAGAACAGTTACATTTGGATGCATTTCCTCATCCTTATCATATTTTTTTTCTAGCTGGACCAACAGGATTTCAAATTTTCTTCACCTTGATGTGATTTCCTTCACTTTACTTCATGCTCTCCTAATCTTGTCTTGTGTGTAAGAACAAAATCTGTTTTGTAAACTGATTTCATTCCTTTTTTTTTTTTTGAGACTTGGCAAATCTCATTTCTAGAAACAGAGGATTCTAGGCCTATATCTTTTATGATTCCTTCTTGGCACTGGAGTTTGTAATGATCCCACTGGATTTTATCTACTTTAATGCAAGAAAAATCATTGCTGTAGAATCCCCAGTCTGAGTCTCTGTGATAACATAAGAATAACTAAAGAACTTATTAAAACACAGGTGCCTGGGCTGTACCCTAGAGGTTCAGATTCAGTAGATCTGGAGTGGGGACATCAGATTTTCGTTTCTGGCAGGCTTCCAGGCCTCGGTGGTGCTCCTAGTCCACGTTGTGAGTAGCACTGCTCTGACTGTATAGACCTTAGCTACTCCTGGGTAATTTAAAGGCCCTTTCTTGAATGTAAAGATGTGATAAAGTGATAGAAAGGAAAAAAAAAAGTAGCCAAAGATAACTCAGTGTGCTCATGCCTAAGAACTCATGTTGAAGTTTTTCCTGGTTTGTAAAGTTTTCCTGATAATTGAGTATCTACCTCCTCTATTCCTGCAGTTTCAGCTACAGAGACTTGAGAGTCTCCATTTTCCCCCATGGTACTTTGCTCCCCCGTGATAGCTCTTGTCTTTATATAAACTCAGGGTCCAGTCAGTGTATCTACATTTTGCAGTTGGGAGAGACTGAATCTTACCCCTTCTTTCCATAGAATGACAAATAAGAAATATCAACTTTATTGCCTGGGCCAATTCCCAGATAACTACCTCCAACACAGAGTTTCCAATAAAAGTTATATTAGAGAATGAGACTTAGGTATGTGGCCAAATGGAGCTTCCTACTCTTGTTTCCTCCAGGAGTATGGGCAATTGGATCTGCAAAGGACCCTCCCCTGGCTTAGCCCGAGCTAAGGGCAATGGGTGAAGTCTGGTTAGTTGCCTCTTGGAGACTGGAGATATATGTGTCCCTTGCACCCGAGAACAGGCAGGTCCCGGAAACCA